TCATAATTCCGTTCTTTGAAACACCACTTACGTCAGTAGAAAAGAATTTTCGAAAATTGAAATTGTAGATTCTAACAGATACATAAATTAAAATATTTCCAAAAAAAGCATAACAATTTGTCTTAAAATAAATTATAAATTTTTTTAATCTATTGTTCTAAGCAGAAATTTAGTGCAACCTAATACATTCTTCGATTGCCAATAAGAAGGAAACGAATATCTATAGAAATTAGAGCCCTGCTGTTCAATTAACCTAGTGCAATCAGTTGGAAACACCCAATTAAGTTTGACAGAGTTTTTTTTTTATTTCGGAAGTCAATTGAGTCCGAAAATAAAAATAGAAAAAGTTTGAAACTGGAAAAAGTTAATTGTGTTGCTCAGTGATTTAATGAAGTCAAACTATTTGGGATTTACAGCGACTTTTAATTGGCAATCTTCCATAACTTCCTTCTCTGTTTTCTAATACATGCAAATACTTTATTATCAGAAACATTTAATTTCTGTTAGAGCCTCGGCATTTAATTCATGATCAAAAGAACAAAAAAAAAATCTATGGAAAGCGAATTAATATGTTCTTGTTAGTTTCCGACTTAGTTAATTAGTTAGAAACAAGTTGCAAATGATTTTTAACGAAAGTTGGACGTTTTATTTCATTTTCTGCTATTTGTTATCGTTTCTTTCTGTACAGGCAACATAAGATATTAGTACATTTACTTTAAAACACAGACAAAATTGAAGTTTATATGTTTTTATTTCTTTTAATAAAGTTGTTTATAAAGAGTTTCAAACATGGAAATGTGTATATACTTACATTGATTTGTGTAATTTGCTTTTATTTTAAGATACATTTTTAGTATGAACTTAATTGATTCGATAACTTCCGCTCTACGCACATTCATTTATTGCAGTTCTTTATAAAAAAAACTATGCAAAATTACGGTACGAGAATCAGATTCTTCCCCAAGACTTCAGAGAATGTCGATGTAAATTGTCGATGTAAATGCAAGTTGGTAGTTTTGGAAGTAAATCACCCTCATAACATCTATCAAACAATGGTTTTGGAATTCTCAATTCATGGGTTAAGGTTCCCTAGGAAAATGTGTTTCATGAGAACCAGATGACGTGGTTTCCTAAAAAGTGTTGAATGCGAGAAGAATCTACATGTGATCTACGGATTCCGAGAAAAGACTTGTCTAGAGAGATTAATGACCTCATTTACCACAATATAGCAACCGTAAGACAGTGGTTTCACTTTTATAGGAATCCATATGTTTATGAAACGTACCTGATTTCATTGAGCTATGTGCAAAATAATCTTAGGCGTTGTCCTTTACACACTGTGAACCCCTTGGTCTCTTTCCTTTACGCAATCAGAGATTTTGAATCGACGAAATCAATATGAAAGCTCTGACTGCCGGACATGTGAGTTTCATACTTTTTTTGGAAAGCACTGAACACTATACTTTGAGATAGGGAGCCGTTATCTGGCGATCACAATATTGTCGTGGATGGCGTCATTAAAAAGTCGTCTATGGAGATCAGATGAAGTGGTTTCCTAAAAAGCATTGAATGTGACGATAACGTCTCTGGTTTGAATTGAAAACGTTTTGTGTGAGGTTATGACATCCATCGTAATATTACGCCCGCGCGATAACGGCACAGTTTTGTAAGATACCGTAGCTTGGAATAAGCATGAAGATGTTGTATATTCAAAATATGTCTTCCGGTGGTTTGTTTGAGCGTGTGACGCAGAAAATAAGCCATTTCTTTCCAATTACTTTGATTCCTCACAGTTTTCCTATTTTTAGGTAGGAATATGAATCCTGACAGCGAGCCCCCTGTTGATCTCTTTCTTTCCTGTGGGGTTTACTGTCTTTAGTAAACACAGTTGACGCTACTTCAGGAGTCCTTAGTGATCCATCTCTATTTTGAACTCTTCTTCTTGTCAACCAATTCTTTTAATTCATTTTTCGGTTTTTTCGAATGCCTAGATCAGAGCTATGCCTTGTTTGGCGCAGTATAGACATATCTCGATTTTGCTGCATTGAACTTGACAATCATTCATTCCATTTACTTTGAACGTGGAAATGAATTCGCACTCAGCTGGTGGCTCCTACGGATTGATTTCATTATTTATTAACGTCACAATAAAAAACAAAATGAGGGCTATTGACGAATGACTTCGTGTTTTTTGGCTCCTAACGGGAAATAGAAAATATGGAAATCGAAATATATATTTGGTTCCCCTTACTTTATTTTGCACTGAAGAGAGCGCAATTAATATATTTACATTTTGCTCCCTTTAAATGCCGATGATTATTTTGTAGTCACATTGAGTGAAATACATTGGTGTTCAAAATCAAGAAAATTTGCATATTTTGCAGAATTTCATGAAAAGAATTGAGTGAAATATAAAAATATGACACGTGTTTTGAAACTTTTATATAAAATAAAAGTTTAAAATTTTGCTCCTATAACCCAGAACCTGGAGCCACAGACTGTCAACAGGCGAGCTACTTGAGTCCCGTAGGTTTGTCAGCCCTGATGCAGACATATTTGGCATATATATATCGTGGTACACTGTAGATGTAACACATCGTAAATGACTTTGAAAGACTGTATATTAAAAAAATCCTTTGAAAATAAAAACCACATATGCAAATATAACGCATAAAAGTTAATTTAAAATTTTAAATTTTTTGTACCAAATAATTACATACATTTAATCGTAATTACAAAATTTGATTTTTAAATACAAAAAAATTTAAAAGATAGCTATGTATCTAAATAAATGAATAATCATGCTTCTTTAAAAATAATCGAGTTTCACGACTCGTTTGATGTTCAAACATTCAAATGTACACAGTTGTTATTATAGTAAAGTATTGTTGATGGAAAAGCAACTTTAAATAATTTTATTTTTCAATGCCTGATGAAGACACTCAAAGAAAAAGGATTTTCATATTAATCAATCTACTTTATTTGTAAAAAAAATATATGAGTTATTCAAAGTGATGCGTAATTTTTCATTTTTCCTCATTTGAATAGTGCGTCAGAAATTATCCCTTCTTTTCTTTCCTTAATTTGCAGCATTATACAAGAAAAAAATCAAAATAACTATATTTTTGTTTCTGTAGAAACCTAGCATTTAATGCAAAAATACACATTATATTTGTGTCATTCGATTAGCAAAAGATTTTTCAGCTTCATTCATCATTTAATCTTTCATTTAAATAAATGGAAAATGTAAATAACTATACTATTTTCAGTTTCTTATTTGATATTTCATGAAATAATAAATTTATTTTGCCACATTAGTTTTTGCATGAAACATATTTTCATTAGCCATATGTTGTTCCCGTCAAGTATTATGTTATGATATTGTTTCCTTTTCTTAAAAATTTTTTTGTCTTATACATTTTGATTACTTTTTGAGACGTATAGCTCATTGGTTTTCATAAGCACACATTATCAAAACGCAATATTTGATGTATGAATACGGCATACAAGAAAAACCCCATCAGGCATATCTTTAGCTTATACCACACTATATACCACAACCTAAGGTATCCGTACACTTTAAAACGCAATTTTAGTCAAAATGCTCGATTTTTTAATTTTAATGTCAGTTTAAAATTTAAACTTTTTCTTCATATCTGTGTTTGAACTTTGCTTGTACCTTATGTAGAACTTAAGTTACAGAGATCTAAATTTTACTAGGTAGATAATTTTTAGTTGCATTTTAAAGTTTGTTTTTGATTTTTCTCAAAATGAGTTTTCTTAACATATTCGCATATGACAACATAGATATCGGAAAAAGTTAAGAACCAAATTAATTTAAATTTTGCAAGTATCTTCCTTATATAGTTTTTAAGAACTCCTACTACTTTCATGGTTCCAAATTTGATATGTTTTTAATAACAATGTTGTACATCATGTGTTGTTATAACTTTTTCTTGATTTTTCATTGTTATTTGACTCGAAACAAAAAAAATATAGTAATATGATTTTCATCATGAAAGTAGTAGTAGCCCGAAAATATCGTGATAAATAAGATAAAATTCAAAAAATAATGATATTTTTTTTTTTTTACTTTTGAGTTATGAGCGTTATTGTTATAGTCAAGTTATGTACTATTTTCACCATTTTTTTCACTCCAAAATTTTTTTTGAATCAAAAGCAGATAAATAAATTTGTTTTTCATATTTATTCATTTTTAGGATACATTTTAGCATTAAAAAATAAAATCCGTAAATATATAATAGAAAAAAGTGTAATATGAAACAATTCTCCTAGTGGGTCTCGAACCCACAATCTTTGAATTCGGAATCCAACGCCTTATCCATTAGGCCTGAAGAGCCGTAAAAGTACCTTTGTTTTCCAATGATGTTGCACATATATAATGATTAAAACTGAAAATAAATAATAGGAAAAAGTGCAATATTATTCAAATATAAAACATTGTTCCTGGTGGGATTCGAAGGTGACATTGTTCCAATATAATAGTGTAAATTGTAAATATATAATGCGAAAAGTGAGAAATATATTCCAAATTCAAAA